ACTCTTTCCTTCATTTTTATTGTGCTGGTAAGAGACTATGTGAAGGAAGGAAGAATTCTGTCTGATATGTGCTATGAAGGGAAAGCTTCTGCAACAATCTTGTCAATATTGTTGACCTTATTTTGAAACAAATTGCAAATGCAAGGGGAAAATTAATGAAAGTGACAGGAAGATCACAAAACTGCCATACACAGGTGAAAGGAAGATCACAAAACTGCCATACACAGAATGACAAACTGACTTTCACACAAACACAGCACAGCACAGTACACACCTGGTCAGGACGGACAGTGCAGAAGGATTCCTCAGTAGAGTCAGAAGACAGGGAAAGCGAGTGGACTTTGGTCAGACGCGACTGCATATCAAGCTTTTGCATGGACATGCACATAGACAGACCAGCAATGCAGAACACAAGAAAAGGAAACAGAAAAGATCCAAAATAAATGATAAGAACATCATGCAGACTCCAGAACATTCATACAGCACTTGTTTGTCCATGACACATCCAGAGGACTAGACTGCATGTTGTGGTTTAGTTAGCCACCAAACGTTAATTCAGTTCTAGTCATGAAAATGGAAATTAATAATGCAAATAAAGTTTTAGGGGGCACTGTGCAACTCTCTGTACAGGCTGAGTGTTACTAGCCATAATGAGCACACAGTATAATACACTTAATATAATAAAATTGGTGGAGAGCTCCATTACTAAAAAAGAAAGAAAAACAATCAAAAACTGTGACTATTTATCCTTAAACTCTTCTGAAATAATTTGATGACTACCACATGTGACAGTCAGCAATTAGGCAACTAACAGCCGATGTCCTTTTGGTTCAAACAGACAGTGACAGGCAGCATGGTCAGAAAACAGGGCAGGCAGCTAAGCAGAAGAAACCTCATGCAACACCAAACAAGAATGGTTGCTGAGCACCGTCAGTTTGACTGATTCAGTGTGTGACAACAATCCTGTTTTGTGCCTCTTTGTGTGTGTGTGGATAGAGGAAGAGAACGAGCTGAGGTGTGGTCCTTCAGGTTGTGCCTGTGGCGACTTGTGCTTGTCCTGCCTAGAAACAGCCCAAACCTGCTCTCTAGTTTCACCTCACCAACAGACAGTGAGGGCTTGGCCTCTATTGTATTTTGCAGGCTGGTACTAATATTTTGAGCCAACAGTCAGTGTTTTAACTCTGGGACTCAAGGAGGGCTGATGGTGAAGCAGTAAGCACAAAGACAGAGAGCACTAAACTAGTGTCATGTCATCATGGGCGTCTGATTTTGAATGTGCCTGTTACCTCAGACAGCGTGCTGCACAGTGTAGCAAGGTGCTGTGAGGTGTTCTGCCTCAGGTCAGGGCTGGTCCAGGCCTGCCTCAGCCTCTCTCTCTCCAAGGCTAAAACCTCATGAATGGACTTGAGTGAAGCATGGACTGCAACAACATACAGAAGCTTTATGAATTACAAATAAAGTCCGGTCTATGAACATATGATGATACCTGTAACCAAGAAAGAGTAACAGCTGAAAGAGTAGTGGCATTTTGTACTTATTAAATTTTAGCTTACAAAATGTCAGCAAAGACCAAGGTTAATCAAAGGTAACAAGAGCTAGGGGTTGGGTTCCAACACCTGCTTCCATATCAACAAAACACCTGGATTCAATAAGCTCCAGTGCTAACAGATCTCATAAACACCATTTTCTCTCCTTGTTATTTTTCATTAGCAAAGACCAGTGTAGAAAACATGCAGGTAACATTAGTATCTTCTCATTTAAAGCCAGTGCTGAAATTTTGGGGCTAGCTAAATGAGTGCTAATGTTGATAAATTTAAGAGCTACAAACTGTAGAAATGCTTGCTTATTGCCCAACAACAGCTGATCACAGATATGTTAGTTACAACTTTAGTTTCTCACAAATGATGAAAGCTATTTATTGAGGTTTAATAAGGGATACGAAATGATCTGGGTTTGATATTTGGATTTGATACTGGATTTAGATTGTATAAAATGTTATTGTATTTTAATAATCTGATTATTCAGTAGATCAGAATATTTTGGGTTTTTCTTTATGTACAAGAATGTACATAAATGAGCACTGTGAACCAGTCCCTGGAGGGATTGTTTGTGAGTTATGGGTAACTAAAGTACCTATTTTGAGTTATTTCAATTAATATAATTTCTGGGACCTCTCTAATTGATGTTTAAAAGGTGAGGATCATACTGAACCCTAGACATAGTTTCATACATTGGAATGTCTCTTTTGCAAATCTGTTTTTTTTTTTTTTAGTTTAGAGACGTATGCACTGAGTAGCTGTTCCCTTGCTATAACGAGCCGGGTGGCAGAAGGGTTACAGTATCTAAAGTGACAACTTAAAATAGCTAAATTTGGCATTTGTTTACTTTAAAAACTTCTATAATTGACTCAAGGTTTTACTGAATTACTGTCAGTTAATAAAGCAATTCTTTAGATGCATCTAACGTTTAGCAACTTGACATACAGTTGCTATTAAAAAATCATACAGAGAAATAGAGCTGTTAGGTGGGAGAGCCGTACCCCTCTGGGAAACAGTGAAGATGTCCTGGTGGAGCTTCTTGGCCTCTGGGGAGATGACCTGAGGGTTGGACAGCTGAGAGTAGACATAGTCAGGGATGGACTGAAGAGACTCTCCCAAAGTGGAGCTGCTATTGCTACTCAGATTGCTAGAAGTGAACTGAAGACAATGAGACACAGGAGAGGAATGTATGATATCAAGCTGACAGATTCAACAAAGGATGAACTATTTTACAAAACAAAATTAAGATGAACCACAACAGTGCACACAAGTTTAACACACTAAAGTCAGTCCTACCTTTCCCCCCATGGCTTCAGCACGGGACAAAGTCCTGGCGTGACCCATCACTTTCCCCATCTTCTTCTTGGGTTTCTCCAGGAAGAGATTCTAAAATAGAGATGAACAAGGTGTTAATTTCTCTCTATAAAGCAGTTTCTCTCCTGCTCTATTTCTAAACACATTTCTAGACTGATACTTGCAGTCTAATCTCTATCATCTATAATTAAATGTTTTTCCTCATATAACATGGTGGCAAAAATTAGCAGCCATTCATCTTTATGCAACTTCTGCTCAGTGATCAATAAAGTGATATCCAACTCAGACCTGCATTATGTCAGTTGATTAATAAAAGCTGTAAAATAACTAACAGTGGATTAAACAAGATCACGCCATTGTTATTTTTCCAGTGAAATACTATTTGAGGAATCGGATACTGACAGTTGCGATGAGAACACTCACCTGCATGTTAATTCGCATCTCCAGGTCTGTGTTTGAGATTGGCAGGCCTCCTTCTAACCATTGGAGTCGCTGGATGAGCTGAGCCAGTTCTGTCAGCTCTGTTTGACAGGGAGCCAGGCCTGGCAGATAGGTCAGAAACCACATTTTAGAGATTATGAGAACAACAAAAAAAAGTCTGCATCTGTTTCTGCATCTGGTCAGGGTGGATCAAGTCAAAATGTTCATTTTCCATATTTGTTTGTCATTGGTGACTAATAAGAAATATGATAATAAACCACAACCCACTCTGTGGATTAATATTACAGCTGGTTCTCACCAGTGGAGGTAGCATCAATGTCATGAGTCTGCTGCAGCCAGGCTGACACCTTGCTGGTCACCCCTGGGTGGGAGGTGACAGCAGGGGCTGGGGTTTCCATCTCTGGTTGGTACATTGAGGCTGAACTGGCATAGTGAAGGGGCTAGAGGAGCAAACACATCACAGTTAAAATCACAATAAAAACCATTTTCTTGTTTTTCTTTTAATGAACTATAAGAACAGTCATGGCGGGGATTCCTGAGTTTCTGAATATTGAAATAGAAAATTTAAGACTTCACTTTGAACACTCTTTAAAAGAAGCCATTAATCAAATTAAAATATACTTGAGTGTTCAGTTATGAAAAGAGCAGGTATTTGAAGCTCTAGTTAAACATCTTGTTTGCTTATCCTACTGAAGCAGTATGACTTTCTGTAGATACCACTGTTCGGCCATGGTAAATACTGCTGGTTATTCCAATGAACCAATACCTCTATTAATTTGTAAGGGACAAATGACCTTTTTAGGAAATGTACAATGCAAACACATGCACATTAGTATACAAACTAAGTATTTAGAGCATATCTCAACATGAAGCTGGTGGTTGCTACACAAACAGTGGAAGGGGGTATTATGATAAAAGAGCTGAATTAGAACGTGACAAAGTTTCCACCTGCTTGGATTTACAAACCACTTTCGTAAGTAGTGTCTATAGCATTCTCCATAAGGAATGTGCAAAAGTATTGTACACATTACTCAGTATAAATGGCATGTACCAAAAACAATGCATACTGATAGTTTCACAGACAGTTGTTGCAGGGCCATTGTATTGGATTAGGGCTGCAACAACTAATCAATAAAAATCAATAATGAAAATAGCTGGCAACAATTTTATGTGTCGATTAGTCGGATTAAGTCACGCATCTGTGTGAAATGGCTGGGTCAGCGAATGGGTGGCTATGTCAGAGATGCAACGGTATGGAAATTTGACATCCAGATTATAATGAACAAAATTACCATTGTTATCAATGACAACAGTGTTAAAATGTGTTCGAAATGTTCAAAAAAATACTGAGACTAATGAAAATCATTTGTTTAAGGTGTAATTTTGAAAACAACAAATAATTCTTAGCATCACTATGCACTATGTGTGCATAGACATTAAAAAATGACAGCCAATAGCCATAACCTTCTGTAAACAGGACAATGTATCAAATGTGGGTTTGTAGGGTACTGGGCTTGTGTGCTACATGTCCACTCTATAAACAAAGGAAGAGCAAAGGTAACACAAAGCTTAGTGACAAACTATTTGCCCCATTCTGAAGTCCTCACATAATGCTCTAAGCCAAAAGTTAATTTACAGTAGAGGGTGATGGTCACAAAGATGACCAAAAGATTTAAAGTGTTGCCTCCCGTTGCAGCTATTTATTCGGTATGCTCTGCAGACAGAGTTAACATCTTCAATTAAGTCTCCCTCAGGACTTGTAAAACCAAAATATGCCAACACTTTGTACTTAGTCTTCTTAGATGGATGAAAAATTTTCAGAGCATTGTCATTCAGTCTATCACTTTATTCCACCATGTTTTCACTGACCCAAACAAACCCACACTGCATACATGTGTCTGAGAACCTCTAGTTAACGTTGGTCGATCCTGGACAGTGTTCAATCCTTCAGTGGGGCGGTTTTTCAAAGTGCAGTTTTCAAGACCACAGTTTTTATGATATTTAAAATTTGAAGTGGTAATACTAACCATCATAAATGTTACCATGGCTTATCGTGACACTGTTAACCGTTTGAAAAACAGCTGAAGTGGAAGACAGTAGTGAGCATAGTTGCAACAGAGAAAAGTGGACGACCAAAGTGCTCTAAAATGTGAGAGCACTTTATTTTACAGTTAGTTGCAGCACTATACTGGTCATAGCTAGGCATACCTAATAAACTGGCTGATGTATGTAAATAGGAACTGCATTCTACTGTAGCAGCCAAAAAGAGGCATTTCAAAACAAAAACTCCTTAATTGACAAATCTAAAGTCTTCAGAGGGAAATCTTTTGATTCACTATATCAGAGTACAATTTTCTGTCATGGGGTAAAACTGAGCTGTGACATGAATTGACCAGGAATCTTTACTAACTGTTGTTCTGTTTTGGTGGACAAGAGTGGCCATGGCTGGCAGGGAACTCTGGCCCATGGAAAGAGCGTGAAGGACACCACGGTGGACACTCATCGCCTCATTTTTCCTATATACACGATGGGCACATAGCTTGGTCAACCAGATGTAGAAGATTTCATGGCTCTTTGCCTAAAAAGCAAAGAAAGTAGAGAGAGGAAACAGAAGACATCACACAGACATGTTAGGTTTTCTTTAGATGAAAGAATGACCAGATATTTGGTTGCCAACTTCATTTGGATTCTCTAAATATTACTAATAGTGAATTATCAGTTTCAGGTAATTATTTTCTCCTAAAACAAAGTTTTAGAAGCTGTCTGTGCTACTAATCATTGTGTAACCAACTCAGTGGTCCTAAAATCCCTGTCAGCTGTGGCAAGTAGGTTACCTTGAGGTGGTAGAGGTTGTCTCCAGCATCCAGGTCTATCCGTTTAGATTTCTTATTGATGGACAAAACAGCCAGGCTGATGTCCAGAGAGCCATGGAGTTTCCCTCGCTGAATCTAAAACACAATAACAGAGTGTGTTTGAAACATTTTGTCTTACTACATATTCAATAAATTTACACAGATCTGTTAAACCACACTGGAATCAACTGAATAAATAGAACAGAAGAGAGACAGTGCCTGGTCTTCTGGCATAGTGTTGGTAGCTGCATTTTTGTTCATGACTTACATCTTGTTGGGTTTTTGAGTACTTGAGAATTCCTTTCTCCAACAGGAAGAATCTCTGAAAAGCACCAATCACAGTGAAGTGTTAAAAAGCTAAAGATGATCCAGAGGACACAGGAGTTGCATCACGCTCGCATGTTAGACGGTACAGTAAAATACATCTGCATCAGTGTAACTATCATGCTTACTGCAGTAATACTGGGAACCTGTGTAGAGGAGATAAGTTCAGATGCTGTCCAGTCTGTGCTGTGCTAACCTTGTGCCAGCCTTTGAGCGGGTACTTCCTCCTCTTCAACAAGTAACCCTCGCAGATCCCAGGGATACTGAGGTCCCCAGAGGAGCCAGGAACTGAACACATTTCCGGTGGCAGGTCATCCATCACCTCCCAGTTACGAGACTAAAACAGAACCAAACAAATCAAATATGGCTTTAGTAGAGGTCAAGATTTTATTTCCAAAATGCAATTCTATGAATGTTGGGAGCTTTCTTCCCCCCCTTTCACTCTACAAGTTAACAGGTTGAAACAAAGGGATTCTATTTAATGATTCACATTAAGCCTTTTGAATCTAACTCGGAGAAACCTGTATGAAGACCGCTAATGGCAGGCAAAGCAAAGAAATAAAGTAGATAAAAAATAATATTTGTACAAGTTAAAAATGAAAACTGATTTACCTTGCTTTAACATCGATGTTGTCCCTGACTGTCTCATAATTTTCAGTTACAGGGTGCCTTTTTCATCAGTTTTCCAATGACCAGAAAATATACTGATACTAAGCAAAAATGTATATGCCATTAGATTTAAGCCAATTGCTTTCAACAGGATGACAAATCAAACCACTAATACTTTGCCAGAAGAGGCAAAACAGTGCAATTGTACAGTAAGTAGCCAAAATAGGACAAAAATGCAATTAAAATACACAAAATTATACAAGACTACATAGAGGTCCCCCCCCCGCCCCCACATACTTAAAACACAGTACGGTTAGACTGTGTTATTGTGAGAATTATTACCTGCTTTGAAAGTTTGGAGGAGCCAGTGCTACTGCTTCGTGAGTGCCCAGCTTTGAATGTACTGATTGGAGATTTATCAGGGTTGCTGATCACTGACTGGCTGCTGCTCAAAGGAGGCGGACACACCTGAGGGTCAATTGGTAGGATGTGATGATGAAAGCGTTGCATGGTGTCGAAGGAGCTTCAGGGCAATCTCATGGCAAAATACACGTAGCTGCAGAGGTAAAAAAAAACAAAACAAAACAAACAAATAGTACAGTGATAAAAAAATCACTCAACAAGAACCTCAGTCCTGGGCTCTTGGTGAGCGGCCGTCTGCCTCAACCTGTTTGAGGTGAGTGGACAGAATTCTCAAATATTGATTCTGAATCCGAAGTTGTTTTAATCACTAGCAGCAGACAATTCATGGCAAAAATGTGTTGGCATTCTCATATATAAACACCCTGTACTCGTCACCTTTATCTTATTTTCATGCTTCCAGGTTTCAGTTATATTAATTATATTATACCAACGCCAGCTCTTTATTCTCAAGTAATATGTGTCTTAATGGATGTACTCATCAGATGTGAAAATATTAAGGAAATACATTTGACAGTTATAAATGTTGGTCATCTTATTTGGATTTTAAGATTCCAGTGAGGTACATTACACTGAAAGGTGAGCTATGTCATGTAAGGCTGGGAACGTTGAACATAATGCACACATTTATACGAGTGTAGTAAAAAACTATGTTATATCAGAGATCAGGTAGAATGTTTGAAAGTCACTAAATCACTGGGTCAAACAGACAATAAAATGAATAATTAGAATGAAAACCAATCAACAAATGGCCCGTGGAATATCCAGTGGCTCTTCCTGTTCCTCTTAAAAACAAAAGCAACCATTTTTAGCTGCTGGCATTCCCTTTTCACATTCAACAGGTGACAACAGCCTGTAAAAGGAAGTGATCACTGTGGAAAATCCAGTCTGAAGTTTCAAGAAGTCTAGCCAGATTGTTTGCTGTTGGCTGCAAGCCATCATCACTTCAAGGAAATCTGGACGTTTCCCACTTCAGTTTTAGGATGGATAGTTAGACCTGCACCGGGCCATCTGCTATCCTGAACCAAACATCAACTGGTTTCTCACTTTAATTAGATAATTTATAAGCTACATTATCACTGGAGTCTGGTTTCGAAACTCAAATTGTCAAAAAAAAAAAACAAAAAAAAAAGTTTTCCTTCCATAAATCCAGAAACTAGCCCCCCAGATATATAGCTAAGCTGTGCACTTTGTCAAATATGAATACAATTGTTTTTTTACAATACCATTAATACTGTAATAGTTTCAAGTGACTTAGGTCACTGTGGTCAACACTGGCTAAACTGTCTGCATATAGAGAGTATAAACATATAAATATAGTGATAGCAGGCTTTATCCAGGTCTCCCTTCCCTAATCTGGACCTGAATGACAAAGTGTACAGCAGTGACAGTATCAACAGTAGCATATAAAGCCATAAATGCAGCCACAGACAGCAACACTTGGAACCAATAATGTCTCGTTGACAATAACAAATAAAAACACACCTGTGTCTGATGTCTTAAGCTGCTCCCCAAGTAGTTCAAGTGGAAATCCTTTCTATCAAGAATAAATGTAAAGCTGAAAAAGAAAATCCCCCATACTTAAAAAAAACAAAAACAAAAAAACAAAAATGGGTTTTCCTATTAAAATTCCTTATAGATCCAACTGTTCTTTGAATAGTTCCCTTCAGCTCTAATCTGTGTTACACTGAGAGCAATGCCACACCTGACTCAGGATGTGCTAGTCAGACAAGTGCATATCAAAGCCAGTGGGTATCTGGGCGGGGCTAAAACTACAGCAACACTCTGTACCTGACTGAACAAGCCTTCCAGTTATGTCATCGCTGTAATGACAAAGACCTGTTACAGATTTGTCACTAGATGAATTTTAGAAACATAAGAGCCCTCAACTGTCTTCAATAAGTAATTCTAACATATAAAGGAAAATCATAGAAAGTGCTATGATTTCAAGACATCAAATGTCAACAGGATTACATTTCAAAGAATGATTTTAAAAAATCCCATGTGCTTTAGGAAAATGATTGAACATTTTAGTTTTTAAATGAAACTTTATATTTAATTCACCTCTCCAGTACAAACCAAGAGGCTTGAAGCTAAGAGCCACAATTAAGGGAGGGAAGGCAAGAAAGAGAGAGACAAACACATTCTTGATTTTGGTCTTTTCATGGGAGCTGACTTTCACCATCAACACAGCATTACCTCTTGATGCTGTGATCTGACCCCTGACATCTTTGCTACTTGTTCTTGCTTGCTTTGCAATTGGCGATACTGCTAGACAAGAGGACCTGGAGGAAGAGGAGGTTGTGACATATTTGGAATTATTTCTTAGTTGCCAGACATGCAGTGAACCAAAAACTCCCTGCATGTACTGTAAAGAGGCTTAAAAAAACAGTCCAGCCTCTTTACTTTCGGCACATCTTAACTGCCATTTTTGTGATCAATATACACTCAATAACCTATAATGTTAAACCAAAAACATGTTTTTAGACATTTTTGAAATTTTAAAGGGAAATAGTTTAAATATTTTCAGGAGCATCTGTAGGAACCTGTTGCCACACATTCTTTCATCAAGCTGTTGCTCATCAACAATGCCCCACACTTGTCCTTCATCGGTCTTTCATTGGTGGACATCCACAGTGACACCCCTTCATAAATGTCATGATGCTTATATGCTGAGTCATTAACGAGACCAGAGGAAAGAGTTCAGCCATGAGAAGTATGTGGTCTGACCAGTATACCACAGAGAGAGCAGGGTCTGAGAAGCAACTCTAGGAGTTATAGAGTGCTGCAGGGATGACTTTTTTTTGTAGGCCAGCCCAGAAGTTAGCATCACCCTGGTTCCCTCGACAAAAAGCCAGTGGCATTTTTCCATAGTCTTTTGGATTACTGTGGAAAATAAGCTCTGTGACAAACAACAGTTTTTTGACACTTACATGTTTTGTTCAGCAAGATAATCCTCACAAGTGAACACCACTTTTATGAAGTCCATTCAAAACAAATAACCCATTATTGCATTAATATCAACTGCCCTATATAGTAGAGCAACTCGACCACAATATTACACTCCTGACATGATTTGGTGTTTTTACCTGACTATTAAGGTTGTGCAATATATATACATACATACATATATGTGTGTGTGTGTGTGTGTGTGTGTGTCTGTATGATGTTGGTCCAGTACTTTCAATCCCAGTGTATGTTTATGGAATTTTACATTAAAGGAAAAAAAAAACTAAAGTTAACTCAAAGTTACAAGGAGATTGTAAGGAGATGTGTGTGCTAAACATAAAAATAAACATCTTACAAAATATTTGTAAGGAGTTTTTTTTTTATTACAGTGTGATGAACAATCATTTGGTGTGACATAAGCTGTATAAATAAATGGTTTTTCCACTGGAATATTACTAATTATATTGACCTAGTGCTGAAACTGATGCAGCAAACACTCAAAACCATTTTCGGAGCTGCTCTGATTGCTGTGGTGAGTCATAGTATCAAATGTCCACTGAAGATACCTTTTCATGCACTTAGCTCATAGTTAACATAGTCATAGATGACTGAAGTAGTTCTGATCAACTGTTCAGGAATTCAGAACTCAGAGTTTCCCATCTGAGAGTTAGGAGCTCAAACCTCAGTTTGGTAAGCCTGATTTCGCCTCAGGTCTGAAGACCCTCATAGTAGTTAGCAAAAAACAGAGTAAGCAAAGAAAAAAAACTCTGCAAGTAGCAATGCTGTCAGAAGAAAATGTCAAACAGCATATACTGTATCATGACATGATGACAAGAAGACAGACTCTGAGCAAGGCAGCAATGAAGCAGATGAACCTGCATGTGTGACAAACCATCCAGATTACAGCCCACACTGCAGTAAAGTTGTTCATACCTCCTAACTAGAATGTTCTAGTCAGAAAGTCAGTCTGTCCAACAGAATTCAAATGTCTTCCTTTAGGAACAACAGGACAGAGGAAACGGATAACAGGAAATGTAATGATTGTCACCTGGGTTATATTTGTCCCATTATAAAACAGCAGCATTGTGGTGAAGCGTGTCAGAGCAGTCTAATCAGCCACAGCATCGCTAGCAGATTTAAAATAAAGGAGCGCCTGACTCTGGTTAAAGACTACCTCAAAGAATGGCCTCACATCTCCTTCAAGAAACCTCCTTGCTCCTCTGAGCACAAGTAAGCAAACTAAAACACCCACCAATGATGGTGAGGTCACCCAAGGACCAAGAAGACATGAAATAAAGCATATGAGAAGTACCAAGTATATTCCTGTAGTTGGTCAGAAAGCATAACAGGTGTGTGAACCACAGCACAACCTGACTAAACACAACAGCAGATTCATGCAGACTGTATCATGGTGTGTGATTTAACATAAGTCTTGCCCAGAACAAGGTGAACCGTCACATTCGTGTTTATGTAGCGTTAGACAGGACTGAACAGACTGGTTCTCACTCTCCCTTCCTCCAAGAATGTACCAGAACAACATGCCCAGGCTGTGCGGCTACACATGACAGAAGTTCTCTCTAGAGTTTACAGTCCAGCGTTACAGTTCTATTAGAGCTGAGCTTCAAACCTCAGGTGGTTTGGTATAGAGTAACTTGTGCCTGTAGCCCAAACTAATAAAAACTGTCAAAGTACTATTAATTAAATGAGTCTATTAATCATTTCATATGGGATAAAACAGTGAAAGTGCATCTTTTTTTGGCTGATCAACAGCATACAACTCAAAGATGTTCAACTTACAATGAACTAAAACAGAAAAGAAGAAAATTCTCAAAACAAAGGAAGAACCAGAAAATGTTTGATATTTTTGCTTAAATAATTGTCTTCAACAATTAACCGGTTACTAGAAATGTTGACTAATTTACTGGTGAACCATTTCAGCCCTCGATCCTGATTTAAATCAAAACTTGGAAAGGTTTTTACTACTAAAGTCAGGCAACATTCAAATGCTTACACAACTTTTAACAATTGAAAACTTTGGCTTCCTTAAAAAAAAAACACAGATGAACATACCTATATTGTCAAATATTGAAAAAAAGGTTCAATTTGAGCTAGTATTAAAAAAAAAAAAACAACAACTTTGAAACAGTAACCAAATCCTACATCTTGGCCTTTTCTCCACAGAATATGATGCTAAACATAAAACCTATAACAGACACCTAAAAGTCATCAGCTATAAGCACTGACACATAGGGTACAGAGCCTAGAGAAACAAAATTCTGAGCATTGTGAATTATGAATGTAATTTACAAGGCTCTGGACAGAATAGCCCCAGTTTGTGCATCTAATTTTTACAAGCTAAGCATCAAACTTTCCAAAATACATAACCTGCAATATTTTAAAAACCAAAATCAAAACAAGTCCTAGATTGCTGGAACAATAAAAGTGTTTTTTAAAGCTCGTCTCCAAAAACATACCTTTTTCTTTTCCTTTTCCAAACAATGATGGTAGAAGGAACCTACATGTGTATAATGTGAACCAATCATTCAAACCTTATCAATTCCTTTGGTGTAGCCTATAGAGGTTTCTTTCCGGTGTTTTTTTTTTCATACAAAACAATACAATACAAATTTTGCTTGGGTTACAAATAACATAAAAACAAGGACATGCCATTTCCTGATGACTTGATTAGGAAATGCGAAATGGTTACTAGTACTAGTACAGTACATGCAAGATTTGTAATCATGTTAGAAAAATAACTGGATGACTGAAGGAGTAGGCCGAGTTTTCCTCTAGCGGTATTCCACCTTTGTAAAAACCAACATCACGCAGGAGAGTGATGGTGGTGATTTTACTTCATGTGAACACCACCATAGCCTACACCGTCACAGATTTTCTTTGGCCTATACATTTTATCATGTTGTCCGACGTAGCCTTTGGCAAACATTCCCGGGGAAAACTAACTAGGCCTAACCTATATACTTTTGCGTCGTTTCCGCGACAAACTGTTTCTCTCTGTTTTACAGCAGAAACAGTAACAAACATTTAACATGGCATCCACTAATAGCGTGTGCAGTTTTTCTGAGTAAGAACTCACCTGTTGAGTCTTGAAGTTGCGTCACGCCTGACTGCGACACCTGATGAACCCACTGCTTTCTGGAGCTGCCTCGCGCAGATTAAGGTTTAGAAGGTGCATCGACACAGTTGCATCATGGGAACACCATTGTTTTGTCCACCATCTTTTTTTTAATAAACAGGACATTTACAATTCATATTTACACTCGGGAAGCGCTATCACATTATCACATGGTTAATAATTACTAGGACAAAGTGATAAAAACTGGCATGGACTCGTAGCCTTATTTTAACATTAGACTTGTAATTTAATCACCCTTTGTTTCTTCATTTAAATACAGTACATAACATTTTGTTTTTCCATGGGAATAATGCCATTTACTCCTGAGGGTATTTTATATTAAGAGTTTCCATGTTAAAAGGTACAGTAGGCCTACAGTACATCAGATACATTAAAGGTGGGTTAAAGATTTGTGATAAGTTCTGCAGCTGAACTGATTCAAATACATGTACATTTCTACATACAGTATATACAGTAGTACACGCACTATGCAGAAGCTACTTGCTGAATTCAGTGCAGGTGAAGTAATGAAAAGCCAAATTTACTAGGCAAAAAGTTCCAGACACTTACAATTAAGACTGATACCATTTGAATGAGTCAAGATGCCTGTAGGTGTTGTCTGTCTGGTTGAGAGACTGGTGACTTATTCAGGGTGTACCTGACCTCTCACTCACTGTCACTCACTGTCCAGCTTCCCCACAGGATAAGCTGTATATATAATGGACATATGGATGGGTGAAGATTGTTAAGCAGCTCCCACTCGCCATCAAACAGATAGGGCCTAAGCTATACAACATCCTCACCATCTTAAAGACCCAGGAAAAGCACTGATTACACAAATGCACAAGAAGAAAAGCTTACACATTATTTACGCATGTTGATGAAATCAACAAACACACAAATATAAAGAGAGGGATATAAGGATAACATAAACACAATCCCTTCAGCTGGACAACATGGACTATACTGTACTGACTACTGTACTGTGATTAACTGTGCAACCTGGTTTCTCTGAGTAACCAAATTTCTTCAGAGCATGCACACACACTGACAGATGAACACACAGCTCACAGGGTCCCAGTCCTAAAAATCTGACTTACACCATTTGAGTTTCATATGTAAATATATGACCAGGGTCCAAACTAACAGAGCTGAACTCAGGATGGGGAACTACAGTTCAACTGTTGTTGCTGGGGTCAAGAATTAACCATCAGGATCAGTTGGTATCTGCAAATCCATGCTGTACTGGCACCCAACTAAGAAATAGAGAGAGGATGTCCCCTGGTGTGTATTGTTTTTCACTACAAGAGTTTGTGACAGCAGCTCCTCCCTGCCTTATTTCGCAAACTCAACAAAAAGTAAGAATGTGTTGTACAAAATGAAATGTACTTTACTTTTTTAGTGCAAGTTCAAATTTTTTTCCACTGGATACAAGACAAATGTATTTGATGTGACTCATATTGGCATAAATAAATAAGCCTCAATAAACTGGTTGTGGACAGTCAGTTTGGTAATCAATAGGCATTTTGATTATTGGCTGAATGAAGTCAGCTTGATTCTCAGCAGGCTGAATTCAGTTTGGTAAACTGAGACTGGAGTCAGTTTGATTATACAGATTGGTGACAGATGAAAGGAAAACCTAACATAAAATGTCTCAGTAAGGTGTTGGGCCACCACGTGCCACCAGAATAACTTCAGTGCTGCTTAGCATTGACTCTCCAAATCTCTAAACTCTACTGGAGGGATGAACACCATTCTTCCTAAAAATATTCCATCATTTGGTGTTTTGATGATGCTGGTGGGGACGCTGTCTAACACGTCACTCCAGCATCTTCCACAGGTGTTACTGGGTTGAGTTCTGGTGACTGTGCAGGCCATATCACATGAGTCACATCATTTTCATGCTCATCAAACCAGTCAGTGACCCCTTGTGCCCTTTGGATGGGGGCAGTGTCATCCTGGAGGACGCCACTCATTTACTCAGGGTTTTCCTGCAATTTTGGTGAGCTGAAGACTGGTAAAGCAGCAGAGTTGCTGTATGGGAACAAATATGATGTGTGTGTAAGAAGGACACATTCTCTGTTTATCTTCACTGTGTCTAAACATATTAGGAAAGTTATTTCCTGAAGGCTGATTACTGTAGCTGACAAAGCCAAAGTTTGGTGGCAGAACAAACAACTTTATTAAAATGCTTATATTCAGCAGCTCCAGTGAACTAGCGTCATACAACCATATGCTTGTAATTACTAATTCTTACCCAGAAGGAATATGTAGAGGGTAATTGGACATGTTTGAGAATCTTGATGTTTCACCTTCCATCCAAAAGATGTCTTCAGCTCTGAAGAGAGCTCTCCTAAATCTTTCAAAATATATGATAAACAGTCTTATACAGCACTTTTCAATGTGCACACTCTAAGTGCTTTACATTCTTTTCCATTCACCTATTTGCACACACAAGCTGAAGGCAGAGCCTCCAGGAGTAACATGGGGTTCAGTGAATGCATAAGGACACTTACAATTTGACACATGGGCCGGGCCAGGAGCAGAAGGATGGAGTGTTTGTGTGAACTAATATATATGACATATAAAAGCCATTACATAAAAGGTTTTGGTCTTTAACGGGTAGCAAAGCATGAATATTCAAGGATTATTGTACAAATTATTCTCCAAATGCATTTTTTTCATAACACAGTAGAGAATTAAACCTTCTGTTTCAGTGGGAACAGTGTTGTTGGTCAAAGTCAAGTTAATTTTGTTGTGGCTATTCTCAGGATAGAGCTGTGGTGTTGGTCAGTTGACATGGATCTGTGACTGGCGTTGTTGATGTTCATGACGCTGAACGTCTGCTCACACACAGGTCGAGCCAAACAACGCCAGCATCTTATGTGCCGTCCTCCAGAGGTTTGGAAATGTGGCTTCGTTAAGTGAAGCATAAAGGTCATTCAGTTTAAGAGAGTTGAGCTTCTCCTTTAGAATGGAGTCAGGCTGAAGATCGATTAGTTCCAATTGCAGCTCCTGTGGTGCTGTTTCAGGGTCTTGTGACAGGGGACATGATTAATTAAGCTGCAATAGACTTGCACAGAGATTCCTGATGAATGATGCAGTGACCTACGATCTACTGTCTAGTTAACAGCAAGTTAACTTCAGAGGATCAGATCAACACCTGGTAATAGGCAGGCCGCAGACCAATCAGATCACTGGAAAAACAGAGTCAACATTTCTGCTGGATCCTCACTAGAACAAAAGCAGTGAGATTATAATCACGAGACATTTAACTAACAATGGGACGAACAGATCAGTAAAGTAACTTCGGCTTCCATGAGAGTATGGGCAAAAATATTTCCGACCCTTGAGTCAACTCTGGGGGTAAAACAATCCCTACCATCAGAAATAAATATGAATATCATTGTACATATAATTCCTGAAAGTGACTCTCTTCCTTTTTTGTTTTCATTTGGGGGGCAGAGGTGGAGATGGGGTAGCATAAACCTCCCATGTGGCATCTTGGTCAGACACATAATGCCCAAAGGAAATGTGGAGCAGTGGAAACAAAAACAAGTGCATGGCAAATGCTAATTTTATCTCAACCAAAAACCTTTGCAGAATCTGGGATGCCTTTCAGTGTCCTAAGAGAAAGGCTAGTCAAGTTTTTTTTTCTTACCTTCTCTTGCTTAGTTGTCAGCTTGTGTCTTTTAACATGCAGAAAACTTTAAATTAATAAACTTTTGTGTGATGATGAAATCAGATCATGAACTGTATTATATATTATATAATGATAATACACACTACTATATTGTAAGTGTACTGTTGTCAGTGCTGGACTTCCATACATCCACTGTAACTGAGAAAACTAAAAATTATGACTGTAACATTTTTGTTGCTGTTCATTTGAACATGCAAAACTGCATCAAACAAGTCAATTTCTCATGAAGAGTAAACTGAGAGTCACAGGAGCAAGCACTGACATTAATACATCTATGGGTTGCTCAGACAGCACTGCTGTGACAAGACCCATGAGGAAAATCGACCAGGCTGGCCAAGACATTAAGCAGTGCAGGGAGGGAAGAGGCAGGGGTCCCAGCACTCAGCCTGGACAGGGGGAGGCAGGGGGGTGAGTAAATACTGACTTAATCATTTTTTCCCTATTGTTGAAGTTAATGGAATGAAGAGAAACAGTGCATCAACATTTGAAGAAAGGTGTTGGTCTCCTGTAGGGATTCTATTTACTTAAAAAAAATTTCAATAAAAAAGTTCCCACTCTTGCCTACACCACCTTTGCAGAGAAAGTGGGTGCTCACCTACAGGGAATAAACACTAGTTACATATATCAGGACTGAAAAACATTTTATTCGGTACTTTTCCAGAACTTCTGTACAATACCAACATTTTCACGACCTGGAAATGATCACTTGTGGCAGTAAGCCAAGCAAAAGAACCCTGCTTTAAGCAAAAAACAACATAACCAAACAGGGATATGTCTCTATCTTCCCTTCAAGAAGTCTGTTGCAATCAACATTTTGGCAATCACATATATTCTGCTAGTAAGTGCTTCTTATGTAACCATTCGATACATATTAAAAGAGATAAAAAAGAATGCCCTATATTAGTAACTCATTTGTATCTTCAGCAAACTAACCAGGGCTTGACAAAATGCCGTCAGCAGAGGCACACTGCTGTTCTCTCCATCAACATGTCTGTGGAGCGCTACAGGCAGACTTTGGAGCACAATGGTAGGCAGAAAGGAACTACAACAAGCCCAACAGTAACTCATGTGTCTCAAACATTGTCTCACCATGTTGAAGAACATCTTGAAATAGCATGAGAAGGGCAGTATGCTGAAGCTGAAGTCTGTGTTTGGACTTAAAGGAATAGTACAACATTTTGGAAACTACTGTATGCCGATTTCATTTCTGGACTACAGTTAGGCCACATTCAGACAGACTTCAAGTTTATTCTGGTTCAGCTTTTCCTGCAACACAGTGTGACATCGTTCGGCAAGGCGCTGCATTGGCCACTCACGCACATGCAAGCGTTCATTCCTGGTACATTACTTCTTAACATGAACACCACATTTCTGCAGTTTACTTTGATAAAACAGTTGGCAGCGTGATGACGTTCCAGAGTTGTACAACAGCAAATTGTCATTCTTACACTTATGTACAGAAAAACAAAGGACATATAACATGCTAAAATGTTAGGGTGATTCAGGGGTGCTGGTAGGAGTTTCTATTTTTCCTCTCTGACAGGCTAGCTGTGTCCCCATATGCAGTCTTTATGCTACACCAACAGGCTGCTTCTGATTTACTGTACAAACATGAGAGAGGTATTAATTTGAAGATCAAATGAGCAAATTTTCCAAAAATGTTGAACAATTCCTTGAAAAGATAAATCACATCCAGTATGTTACCTAAATGAAGTGACTGGTCAGTAGAATCGTTCCTTCTCCGACTGTGAAGAAATCCCTTATTTACATTAAAATATTTTTTTAAATAAATTTTGCAATTAGCCTGAAGTTTCCTCAATCTGAGCAAGTTATCCTCCAGTGCGGTCTTCGAGTACAAAATCTCCATGTGAACCAGAATGAGGACTAATGATTTTCTCCCATCTTTTGCAACTGAGTCAAGTGAGAAAAGGATCTCTTCACAGCCAGAATGAACAGGTGGTATGGTTACGGCAACCAGCAACACTTTCACTGTACATATGGGTATGTGAGTAGTGTACAGTCAGATTTGGTGGAAAAAAAAAAAAAAAAAGATCTGAACCTATCCACTCAAATCCCTACAAACGTTGCCCCCCACTTTCTTTTTTTTAAACTGGAGAACAGTCAGATTGTTAGTGATGCTGAATGTCAACAACTATATTCATTTACTGTGCCGTTGAGAAGTTCAACATAGGCAGTGGCAGTGAACAAACGTGTCAACTGAGAAAGGCTGGCTAATCTTCAGTTTCTTTATAGGTCTGATGGGATGCTGTAACACCAAACCCACTCTGTGTTGACATCTAGTGGTGAAAAGGATGGTTCTCAAATTCCAACTGTTACTTGGGGTTTACCTGTTTATTATCAACAAAAGGTATTGTTAAATTGTTAAATCAAACTATGTATGAAAAACCTAAAATGTGATTTAACTTCTGTGTGTATCTCTGTACAGATGCAACCAAAGCCTTTGGCCAGGCCACACTCATTCAGAAAGAACAGACAAACTGAGTTATCTGCAATATAGACACTTGGAAAAGTTCCTAAGATGTTGCTTCCGTTAGTTGCCCCAAGTCCAGGTGGATCTTCCTCAAGTGCGAGATGGTTCTCGACTGGTTAAACACAAGAGGCAGCAACCCAAAGAACAGCAGGCTTCCCAAATAAACAACCCACCTGACACACCACAAATTAGCATTAGTTTCGTAATGACGATGAGAAAACAGCATAAGAAAGGGTATAAATGTGTATGTCTAACAGCATCTTATCTGGTAAACAAATTTACTGTCAGTTCAACAGCACTATTGGAACTGAAGGCTAAGCAGAACTTTTAGTATATTACACATTAATCACTGTATTTTCAAACAAGAGCTGCTGATGTTTTTATGTGGGCTGCTTGTGGAGGCAGCTGAGGTCCAGTCTCAGAGGTGTGGTGTGGTTTCACCATGTGAAATCTTGGCAAATGTTCACTTTCTTCAACTACCGTCCATTGAGAAATGGTTTGTCTCTTCTTTCTCCCCTCTTGAGTTCAAAGTGGAACGACTGCTTCAGAATGTTGTCACATGTACTTTTGTCATTGAGACATGAAACTAACATTTCACAAGCAACATTGGCTGACTAATCTCACAATATTAGACATTTGGACAGCCATCTTGCGTTTTAGAATCAACCAAGACATCAAAATGAGAGCAGGTTAGCTACAAAAGTAGCACAAATGCACCACTCCAGGCCAAACTTGCAAGCATTTGACCAGCACATGGTGATCATCTTTCACTGTCAGGAGAGAATTACCATTTCTTCTCTCTCTGGAGCATTCACACCACAGAATCCAATGCAGATGAACCCTGGAATCACTAAAGCCTTAAACATAGGCATTGCATTCTCTTTTAGTGATTTTGCTCCTCCACAGCAAACAGAAACAGAAAAACACATCCCCTTGTCTTTAGTCCCTGACCTGGCTTGAAGTCCAGGCCTGCCTGGGGAGTCAGGGCTGGGAGCTGCCTAGACTGTCAGGGTCTGTCTCTGAAGAGCTGGTGTCTGAATCTGAATCATCATCGTTGTGTTCGTCCTCTGCCAGGTTTTTCTCCCGTATTCGCCTGTGGGTGGCACTGAGGCGAGCCAGCAGGCCCTGGTAGTCAAAACGACCACGCTTCTCACCAAATGGGTCCTGGATTGAGCCAGAAAAACAAAGAGAAGTGATCCAACTTTGCATATCCACAGTAGTATTTGCCGTAATTACACGTGTTCGTCCTGTGCTTGCTACAGTAGATATGGAACTTAAGGCTTTAATCTGTATGTGTTCATGTCACAGAAAGATCATTTATGTGTTGTTTTACACTGCCATTTATCCTCATACATGCAGTATAAACTCACTCATTACTTTATTAGGTACACCTGTACACAGTGTTGCCAACTTTCTCGCTAAATCTGGTGACTTTCCAAATCCTCTTGGCGACTCCTTTTGTCAAAAGCGACTAACAACAAATCTAGCGACTTTTTCTGGTGCTTTGGAGACTGACGTGAAAGCACATATCACTCTGCAGTTACTGTCCTCAACAAGCAGCGGGTGCTGCCGTGAGGCCCTCCCCTGTCCCGAGACCCACACCGCTCCACGTCCACACTGCAGATGAATCATGCGTGCGCAAAGCCGCTGCTGAGCCCGGATGGAGCAGGAGGGATGGACGTAGAGCTAGCAATTACACTCCACATAACAGTCTTTTGATTAAATGTGATATTCTAACATTTTACAATACAGGACAAAATTAATTTATGTAATGTGGGTCTGGACAAAGCATTAAAGTCATGAAGTTATTTTGAGAAGTGATGGCCTATTTCAATGGCAAAATAAAAAACAAACAAACTAAGAATCAACAGAAGAAAGTTCATTTGTAGTTCTAAACGTATTTAGGGTGTTTTTTTACTCACTTTTTCTCTCCCATGAAGTTATTCCTCTCTCCTACAGCATCCATTACAGTTACATGCAAATTGATTTTTTTTAAGATGACTTTTTGGCATTTGTATAGACAGGAAACATGGAGAGAGTGGGGATTTGATGTGTAACAAAAGGCTTAACCATTTAAGTACTTGGGTGTCCACCATTTATTTGACCAGGACAAAAAAAAATGTAAGAGAATATGCAAGTCTTTTGCAATAACACAAAATATGCTAAATGTTTGTAAATATTCTAGATTATCTTTTGTATAAATTATACAATATTGCAGATACTGCAAATTTGAAAATCGGAAAATGTGGCACCAACTTAATGTTTAATCTTTTCAAATTAAAAGACTAACAAATCTGCTTTTTTTTTTGTTTTTCCTGCATCTTCCCTACTGAAAATATGCCAAGCTGTGAGCACAAAGCTGAGGTACATACCACTCAGTAGAGACTCACATTGAAGTACCATTGGCAAAGCAGTGGTGTACCTCCAAACATTTATGCTTCAATTTTGATGACTGCTAGGTAGCATCACATGAACACCAACCCTACTTGCATTTTTTTGAGATATGTGAAGTTGCTCCATCCCTAAGTTGTATGTATATTAGCAAAACTTTGCATAATTAATGGAAAATTAAAGGCACAAATGAGAGGAAAACCGATTAAAAGAAATATTAATAACAATAGTAGTCACCTGCATGTTCTGCATATTAGCAAAACTTTGCATCATTAATGGAAAATTAAAAGCACAAATGAGAGGAAAACTGATTAAAAGAAATATTAATAACAATAGTAGTCACCTGCATGTTCTGGCCCTGTAGATGCAGTCTCTCTTTGCAGACTCCCTCATAGAAATCATAGTACTCTAGGAAGGACTTTTCCATCACGCTCCTAATATCACACGCATAAGTAAGAAAGAACAGAAGAGTGAGTGAAAGAAAAAGAGGTGTGAGAAGGTGAGGACAGAAAAAAATGTTGCTTGCAGGAGGGAACAGTAAAGATGAGCTGTCTCACCCCAGAGCTTCAGGACAGGTGACTTTGCCTTCCAGCATGTCACACACTGCCACCCTCATGGTTTCATGGCGAATACACTCGTTGTAGTTCTTACTGTCTCCTGGGTGGCGCTCCTGACACACACACACACACAGCAGCAGTAAATTAATGCAAGGTGCGTTAAAACAAACATAAGATGAGCTGTGGTCTATACTCGTGATAATGAAATAGGTATAGCTATATGTCACACTTGTGCTTAGGTTTGTGTTTTAGTTTGGCATTTACTTGGTCGCGACATGTTAATCCGTTCCCCCGGGGCAAAACAGAGACTTACATGAAAGCTTTAAATTTGTTTTTGGTGCCACCTCCTAGATGTAAGACTCAGCCTGAGGCCTTCCCTGTGTTTAACATTTAAAAGAAAACACACACAGACAGAGTACCTGTTCAAAGCCGGGTTCATTGTGATAGGGGTTCTCAGTCATCAGAGACTGGATGGAGATGAGAACAGATGAGATACTCTGGGCTGGACTCCATGCTGGCCCTGTCCATGTCCTACAGACACATACACACACACGTACACACATATACATTACAGCACCATACAGTAGCTTACAACAAGTTAACTCAAAGTTGTTCTCTCACCAGGACTGGCCATTCTTAAAGGACCATACCAGTGACTGTGCCAAACATCTTACAGCTTCTATTAGTGCCAGTCAATTCGTGGAACATGAGGCCATATTTTAGTTTTTGTAACAACTTGCAGAGCTCTCTAAATGGTCAAAATAAAATGCCCCTGTACTGTAATACATCCACAAAATCCATTCAAACTCAATGTTACAAAACACACAGCTGCATTTATAACACGTGGTGTTTTCGCTTGTGAAACAATCTCTAAAACTGGGACTCATTTCAACATTCCATCTGCGAGTTCCATGGTGGATTCATCAGCAAGGCAAAGCCCACCTTCGAGGGGTTCTGACTGGACAAACTGTGCTCCATGAAGCAAACCGCATTTCTGACTAGGGGTATGACGAGATCTCACAATATTAAAATGCGATGATATTTATCGCCGGGCGCACCCTTAGAGATAGGGTGAGGAGCTCAGTCACCCGAGAGGAGCTCAGAGTAGAACCGCTGCTCCTCCACATCGAGAGGAGCCAGCTGAGGTGGCTCGGGCATCTGTTTCGGATGCCTCCTGGGCGCCTTCCTAGGGAGGTGTTCCGGGCATGTCCCACGAAGGAGGCCCCGGGGAAGACCCAGGACACGCTGGAGGGACTATGTCTCTCGGCTGGCCTGGGAACGCCTTGACATTCCCCCGTAGGAGCTGGAGGAAGTGTCTGGAGAGAGGGAAGTCTGGGCATCTTTGCTTAGACTGCTGCCCCTGTGACCCAGTTCCGGATAAGCGGAGGAAAATGATGGATGGATAGATATTTATCGCCGAGATGAAAGCTGTCTCGCAATATCTGTACATAACAGAACAAGAGCAGTAGCTGGCATGACGGAGTGTGAAATTAGCATAGAAGATGCCCCTGCCACTTTGATATGTTAAATTTGTGAAAAGGGGTTCAGTTAGAAGCTCATGCACAGTTCAGTTACAAGGTCTGAAGAGACTTATGTGAAATCATTCAGGAGAGAAGCTGTGGCAAAACCTTTTACAGTGCTGCATATTGTTGTTTTTTACTGCACTGACAATTCATACTCAAAGTAGAACTGAAGTGACACTCAGTATAAGATGAGTAGTTAAAACATTTCAAAATGCACCTGCATTGTTTTGCATTTTGTGACTTTGAGTTGAATAAACAACTAATCATATTTCATCATTGAAGAATTCTTAAAAATAGTTTTAAAATGTCATCTCATCTCGTGGACCCAACACTGTGTATTTATTGTCTTGCCTCGTGAGCTATGTGTATCGTTCCACCTAATTTTTCAGAGAGAAAAATTCTAGATTGACAACAGCTGGCTCATGGCTGTGAAAAAAATGATATGGATCGGGATGGCTTAATCACACATCAGTTCATTCACAGCACCACTGGCTTGCTCCACTGCCTCCAACAGTGGCTCCATTCAGGGTTGCAAATAAAATTCTGTTGTGAACTGTGAGTCTCAGCACCATTTTCTCCTCATTATACTCCAGCTCAAATGGTCATGTACAACAGCTGTTCTATAGAGTAGTTGTCTTCTCATCAGAACTCACCATCATATACACTGCCTGACATTTTCCTTGTAAAGTGTCACTACTTTGAAGAGTTACTTCTTCATTAGCATTAGGAGTAGATTTTGGGGGAGGCGAAGACGATTTCCTGTACATACTGTATGTGTTTCCCCTTACCTTAATCTGAACCTAGCTTTCACCTTAACCCTAACCAGTTGTCCCTTCCTACTGCAGAGTCTTGGGATCTAATGCTTACTATTACTTCTTTGCCTACAGCTTTTTGTTTACCAACAATACTGAATACAGTACACATTTTCCAGCTCTGACCATCCAGCGGGAGCACACATCTGGAATGGTGTGTTTATGTGCTCTATTACATGCCAACACCAAGGAGGGTTATCAGTCATCACCCCTCGTTCCCCTGGGAAGATCAGATCACAACCTGGTTCATCTTTTGCCTATGTACCACCTTTGTGCACAGAGAAACTGTTATTACCCATACAGTAAAGGAAATGGTCTAAGGAGACTGGAGAGGCTCTGAAAGACTATTTTGACAGTGTGTGGGAAGAACTAAGTCATCCGCAGAGGAAGGACATTGACAGTCTCACGCACTGTATAACGGACTATATTAACCTCTGTGTGGAAAACACTGTACCCACCAGGGTTGTTCTGTGCTTCTCCAACAGCAAGCCATGGATCAAATCTGATATAAAGGCTTTGCTAAAGGAGAAAAAGAGGGCATTTAGATCAATGACGAGCCAAGAGCTGTGCAGAGGAAACTCAGGTAGAAGGTCCATGAGGGGAAGGCCAACTACAGGAGGAGGATGGAGGGACAGCTGCAGCAGAAAAGACTCCTGGGTTGGAAGGGACCAGAAGTGGTGTCCTCCTGCCCCTCCGCCTACACAGTCATCCCTGCTACAGCTCACCTCCTCTGTACTCCCAGTGAGCTGTCCTGTCCCCTCTCCCACACCCACCCCACTCTCCACAATGTCCAGCTCACAGCAGGGGTGCTGTGCCCCTGCTAGCAGCCCAGCTCCCCGCCCACACACTCCAGCTCCAATCTGACGTTGACAACAGCCCAGGTGACTGGTCAAACAACACTGAGGCACTTTACAAGAAAGACCACAGCAGACTCCACCTGCTGAGGAGATTAAGGTTGTTTGGAGCGCAGGGGACACTCCTGAGGACCTTCTTTGACACAGTGGTGGCATCAACCATTTTCTACGGAGTGGTCTGCTGGGGCAGCTCAGGAAAAGACTAGACAAACTGGTTAAGAGGTCCATCTCTGTCCTGGGAAGTCCCCTTGACCCAGTGCAGGTGGCGGCTGACAGAAGGATGTTGGCCAAGCTAACATCCCTGGGCAGCACCATCAGTGCCAGACTGCTCCACTCCAAGTGCATGATGGAGCGTTATCACACATCCTTCCTTCCCGCTGCTGTCATATTACAATTGTTTATATTTATAATACCTTGCCTGTTACTTTTTGATTCTTAACACAGAGTGCCTGTTTCTATCCCTTTGCTGCTGTAACAGTGTGAATTTCCCCATCATGGGACTAATAAAGGTTTATCTTATCTTTTATCATTCTATACAACTACTGCAACTGTGAGTTTTTTTATGACTCCTGTCAGGTACGTATTTGTATTTCCTGTTGAGGTTTATAACATCACAGCCTCTGATACAGCTGAATGGAAAAGCTCTGTCATCAGGGCATGTGAACGCAACACTATGAAGGATTCACAGATCATACTGCCAGCATTATTAAAACTTTCAAATTAAGTAATTTAAAACATAAATAAATAAAACAGTACAGATAGGGTTATATTGTGGTGCATTTGTTGAGAAAGTGTCAAGTCTCTGTGAGCTGATTTTGAGAGTGTACTGAATTGTACTGTGAAATGTCTGTAATACAAACAGGATTTACTGGACTGATTTGACTGATGAACCTTGACTCACCCCAGGATGCTAAGGCAGACCTTGCCGTTGCGGTAGAAGTTGGGGTTGAAGCGGACAGTGTTGTGTCCAGTGGTGATGAGCTTGACCCGGGGTGGGTGGATCGGGTAGTCGGGGGGGCACCGGAAAAGGAAGAGGAAGAAGCCACCCTCGTATGGTGTGTCAAATGGCCCTGTGATCAGAGCATGGATCTGCAGGGCATGAAAGACAGAAACAGTTAAGTCATGAGGCAGAGAAGTCAGATTCATGGGAGGAAGTTAGTATGTCGGGGAAGACAGGTTGGGGGTGGATGTGCATGTGGGAGAGTGATGCCTGGGATCAACAAACCATTCATCAAAACATCTGACCTAGACAACATTCACACAATATTTATCAAAGCCCCTCATTCTACAAGCAATCTCTGATTTACTTAATCACGTGTATTAATTGCAGAATTTTGCAGTGTTCAGAATAACTAGACAGCTGGAGCTATGGTAACAATTTCCTTTGTCAATTTAGCTTTTAGCTGCACATTGGAAAGCTTGACAATCTAATCTAAAGGTTTTCTTACAGGTTTTATTCTGAGCTTTCACGCGTAATTCTAAGGCCCTATTTAGACTCGGTTTTAAAATGCGTCTTGGACGATCAGATCACAAGTGGACAGTGAGACACATCGTTGTTTACACCTGTCAATATACATGCATCTCCAAGTGTCAAGATGGCTACAGGTACAATTATAATGCATTTGTGTTTACGCTACAAACAATACGTGGTCAAATGCTTCCCAGACCACCTCCGGAAGTGGTTCCAGTGTTCGGATTACAATCCACCTCAGTGGTCGTTTACACTTATATTTATTTTACGCTGTCCACTTATGATCCAATTGCCAAGGATGCATTAAGATGCATTTTAATATTAAGTGTAAATGGGGTCTAAGTGTTCATCTGCAGCTGGAGTTTGTTCAGTTGTCATGGAAATGGCTCCTCTGGGTAATCTGACAGCTGAGCCATTTCTATGACCAATGGGCAAACTTTATTTGCAGATGAACAGAGTGAGATGTGGTTGAAAGTACTAGAAAAAGCCGCCCGTGTGAGTATATGTATATAGCAGGTTGGTTTTGTAACAAACAGATGTCTGTCTAAATAAATCTAATACTAAAGTTATTTTTAGATATTTTTTCACTCTTCATCTGAAAAGTCTGGACACTGTGCTGCCATTCCATCATGTGAAGCTAATTGGCTTATTCTTTTCTTCTATGCAGCCTGGAGGTGTTTTTGGGTGGAGATCATGAATGCTTATGTCTCTGTTCTTGGCTGAGATGGTGCTGCAGCAAATATTTATACAATGTAGCCCCTTCAGCCATGAGAAACCAATTGTTGTTGGTTCATCAGTCTGTTAAGGTGACGTTTTCTGTCATTCACATATAGGGCCCTTTTATGTTATGTTCTCCTGGCTTCATTCAGACATACACACAAAAATGAACAAGATGAGAGTGCAGGGGCTATCTAAAAAGTGCAACACTGAAAAGAGATACTACAGAAGTATTTACACTTAAGGTAATGTCACCAGGATCACTTCACATATCAATGATCTCCGGGTGTGTGTGCGCAGAGCAGTCTCCAGTGACTGGTTAAATGTCCATGTTTTCACAACTCAAGCATGAGCATTATAAGCACCACACAGCTGACTGCGTGTGTGAGAGCAGCAGCCCCTCCCTCCTCTTAACAGAGACCGACAGAGAGCAAACACAGTGGAAAAACAAAACAGGTCGGTCCACGTCAACTCAGGAAGCTATGCTTGGTGACAGTTAAGCGAAGTAAGGGATATCCCAGTCATTAGGTTTTGAAAGTGGAAACGGAGCAATAGAGGGTCTATCCCCTGTCATAACAGCAGCTAAACCTCTGCTTAAATTAGCTAATATTGTTCCCATCTCATTTTAACAACAGGTAACAAGTAGCTCCAGCAACACATATGATCTCTAGTCAATTTGTGTGAATTTTATCAGGATACAAAACATGATATGACAAGTATATAGGGTCATATTGTGAAAGCTTTGTCAGATGTGATCAGTCATTTTACCTTGGTCATGTCTTGAGGATCAGGGACAACAAACATCCCTGGTGGAGGTTCCTTGTAGATGGACATGATATCCCTGCAGAAACAGAGAGAAAGAAGTAGGGAACACAATGTCTCTGAAGACATGGAGGAGTCTTACACAGAGCTCAAACAAGACATATCTATCACTGAAACTTCTGTTATGACATTCACACATATTTTTCCATAAACAACCTGTCTGTGAACAATCTTCAGACAGGCTAATTCTTTGGCAGAAAGTAGTTCCAGGTAGTTAAAAGCAGGGAGTGATCTAGAACAATTTGGACAGGGTGGCCTGGCTGGGGCACAGACTCGGAGAAGGGTGGCACATTTGAAAAGCATCTAAAAAGTAAATTAAACCTCTAGTTCTATGAAATAATAAACCATATATTATTAACAAATAAAATGTTATTTTGTTTAAAAATGAGACAGTCCTGTATTAGTCCAAATTTGAAATGCTGCACCGGCAAAGCTCTGTATCAGACCCAACCCATTACCTGGAGTTATTTCTAAATGAAATCCAGACCCATCCCGATTAATTAAAACAGAGTTTAAGCTACACAGTCACTTGGAAAAGTATCTGTTGATGGACCTGGGCTCTGCAGTGGTTCCGTAGTGAGACAGTGCCCAGCTTGCAGCTATCAAATGCTAATACTTGTGGCACTATTTACAAGCAGCAAAGCCGCTGATAACGTTGTTCTCACTGTCTGTAACCACACCGAATTTCTCCCATATGTCCGACTTCACCTTCGATGATGTATTGTGTATTGTCCACAATACTGTATTCACCACGGGCTATTTTCACCTTTAGGATATCCAGTTTGACACACTGACGCCTAGCCTACATTGATGTCTGAGTGACCTGACTGATCCTAGCTGGATGCGAGTTAAGGGGTCAAAGGTTGTGCCATAGGCCTTCACTATAAATGTATTGGTTATTTAAGCATGATAAAATTATGCTGGATTAGATGGTTAAAAGAAACCGCACATTCATTTATTTATTTTACATTATGTTTATCTCACTCGTTACCCACCCCCATTTAGTCTATTTTTTTTTTTACCCATGCCCATACCTGTGAATTCATATAGACATTTGCTGTTGTTTTTTTACCTGTTACACCTATGTTTTTTAGGGTACCCAACCTGTTGCAAATTTCATGCTGCATGCTTGATATAAAATAAGACTAATTTAACCAATATCAACTATAAAGCACCTAAAAAATGTTAGGTTTATCTAAACCAACAATGTCAGTTTTCCATTTTTCATTCATTAATACTGACAAGCATCATAATTTGACTCTAGTAGGGGTGGCCAATCATATTCTGGGGGTGGCTGATGTCACCCCTGGCCACCCCCTGGCTCCGCCCATGGTTCAAAGTGTCCACAATGAAATCCGAAGAAACTGATATACTTTCTGTAAATACTTAAGCGAAACATATCTTTTTGAAATTTGGCTGAACTGACTTCAATAACCTTTTCTCCAGTTTAATTAGGATGCAGCATGACAGCTTTAAAAGACAAGAATGGTTGCAGTGAGTTTTACATCTAAATTTAGATGAAAACAAACTAAAGACGTGACCTTATGGTCCCTGTATTATAGTCTATAAAACAGTAAAATCAGAATCAGCTTTATTGGCCAGGTGTGTTGAACACGTGAGCAATTTGTTCGCGGTACAGTGGCTCTCAATGTGTGTGTACAAGGTTCTTCCGTAAGGTAACGAGTAAACAAGGCAAGATTGAGAGAACCAGAACAAAGAAATAATGTGCAAACAAAAAGTAAATGCGGAGATTTTCTGTAATTCCCCTTCATTTGTAAAGTCCCTAAAGGTTTCCAGTGATGTCAGAAACTTTATGAAAGCTTTCACTTTCGACTTTTCCTCACCTCCTTGACGATTTGGGCGTCAGCTCACCTAGAATCGCAGAAAATGACACTTAAAAAAAAAACGTTTTGTGGTTTGGAAGTGGTTTTGTTACCTCTTTATCCTCAAGATACACTGCTGGGAAGCCTTCTCGTTGTCCCAGTCCGTACTGAGGGTCGGGTCCCAGGAAGTGGCATGGATTTGGGAGAGGAGGCCCGCTCCTGACACCCCGGCCATCCCGCCGACCCCTAGCCCAATACCGGGGAGAGGTGAGGAGGCGTGTACAGTCGGAGACACGGCCACAACCGGAGGCGAGGAGCCTGGGGTGAATGTGGTCCCAAATCCGACAGGGGTAGCAGTGACAGCTGACATAGGTGCCACCACAGCCGTAAGGCCACTCTGCGCTGCCGCTGCGGGAGGAGGAGAGGCCGGGTTCGAGCTTGAATGAGCAACGCTGGCTATCGAGTGCCCACCCGGCAGAGAGTTAGTCAAAGTCGGCAGCAGCGAGGCTCCACTACCCTGGCCGGTAACGCCTAAGCCAAGGGCACTGCCACTGGACTCCTCTCCAAAGCTGTCCGCCATGGCTCGGAAGCTAACAAGCTAGAGCAAAACCGTTGGGTTTGACTAGTGTATAATGCTAACTTTTAGCGGTACTGACAGCTGAGTGCGAAGTTACCTCTGGCTGCTGTGTCGTCCAGTGGGATCACAGAGCAGGCGAACACAGAGGCGAAGCCAGACAACAAGGCAATTCTTCCCACGACATGGTGGCTTTTTCTCGTTAGCTTAAGTGCGTTTTCCCCAGGCCTCCAAAAAGTATGAAGTCGTCCGCAAAATTACGTCGTTTGCCTTGAATCCGTTTACGAATCAACTCAATCCCCGGCCGTCATCAGTTTAAAGAAATATGGGCTGCGAATATTATGTTTAATTCCGAATGCGTCCCCACCAGTCCATTAACATAACGTAACTTTAGATCTGATTTCTCCCAAATCAAGCTGATCTGAAATGGTAACACTCGGGGCATCCGGGGGGAACTTTCAAAGTAAAATTCATCTTTCAATTGTGATGTTTCGAATAGTATTCATGGTGGTACGGTGAAAATAAAGTGACGCACATAACTATCATTTCCTTAAGCAATTAATTATTTAATGAAAACTCTGATAACTGTAGATCAAATTAAATCATTTTCACATTAAATGCCACATGATCGACAATATTGTGGATGTTAAAAGTATACTATTAACCATTTACAAAATTGACTTAGATTGCTAAGTATGTCGCTCTGTTAAAATATAACAAGGTTATCAGACAAATCAAAACCATGGTGGTGTTAACTTTGGGCTTTTTCGGGTCACCCGCATCTCGGATCTAATTATTCTCGAGTGGATAACTACAATGAATTAATTACTACGTAGGTTACTACAGGCTCAGTACTAAGATGCATTACCATGGATGTCTATTAGTTCTCCATCACATCTCTTGGATACATTCCCATCATGCACCTGTCACCAGCCTAGGATGCAGAGAACATCTGAGGCTTGACATTTCCACAATAATTTCTTGTCATTGCACTGACAGTAATAAATTCTTGTCAGTGTTTGAAGCATTTTGATTTTCTGGGGCCTCTCATTACAAGTTGTGGTAGTCCCTCACTAAGAGTCTCTGTTGTAGTGTTTCACATCTGTGGCCTCTGTTATTGTTTTTCCTGGTGAATGTGGTTCTGTGTGGTATTTCTTAACAAGTCCGGTTGGTTATTCAACTCCTCTTCTCCTCCTTGCTGGTCACGTTGTGTAGTGTGCTACATGGTTAAGAATTTATTTATCCACCCTATCCTGTTTCAGTAGGACCTGTTCTCACAGACACACCCTTTCTCTCTTTTTGTTATCAGAGTAAATCTTGGCCTTTCTTTTCTGTTGTGCATCAATATCTTTTATCTCTAAATTAATGTGTGGTGCCACAATTCCAATAATTTCCCACTCATTTTTATTTGGAGCAGTATCTGGGCTCTATTGTGTCATGCTGGGGTTGATTGATATGTAGATGGTGATATATCTCTGCAATTTATATTTTCCCAGTCTAATCCCCCCTGACTACAATGCTCATCCTCTCCATCAGAAATGTCTCTGCACCTCATGGCTTGTGCCCATGTTGGAGCTATGCTCAAATGTTGTATTGTCTGGGCAGACATAAACTGTAGACCGGTCTAGACTTAGTGGAGTCTGACTGCCAGTCCCTTGTCTGTGGTTGATGGCAGGATTGTCTTAGTCGTCTTCTAACCAGCAAGTTGGTGGTTCGACTCCCGGTCTCCCCTGCATGCCTAAGTGTCCCTGAGCAAGACACTGAACCCCAAATTGCTCCCGGTGGTTCGACTGGCGCCATAATTAAACACATTCACTTTTTATAAATGAACTCTGTTAATGTCAACTGTTGCTTATCATGAGCACATCTGCTTCACATTAAGCTATTAGGCACATCAAGCTGGTTTACCTCCAGTGTGTGGTGGAGCGTTATCGCAGGTCTTTCCTTCCTGCTGCAGTCAAGCTGTACGACCAGCATTGCTCCCAGTAGCACCACCTCCCCCACACAGCTGACTTCACAAACCTAGACTGTAAAAACTGTAAATACATACCCCTGTGCAATAGTTTACTTTTTATTATATTTATATTGCTAATACCTTGTCTATTACTGTTCTATTCTTAACCATGAGTGCCTTGTTTCTATTCATTTGCTGCTGTAGCTTTGTGAATTTCCCTGTTGTGGGACAAATAAAGGTTTATCATCTTATGACTTTGTACTAATCAGTTCAAGTCAGGAATTAAATCAGTTGTATAACATGCATTAGAACATACGCTGCCAGTCAAAGGTTTGGAAACGTTTTCCCATTGAACTAAATGGGAATTTTGACTGGTAGTGTACATGTACAGTTTTCCTTGAAAATCTCTACTAATTGTGGCCTGAAAAAGTTGTGAAAAGCATATTCTCATGAGAAACATCACAACGGTTCCAGAGTTTCAAGGTTACTTCTTATCTTTGGAAAATGTGTCCACTAATGTGTGAGCATTACTCCCTCCCCAAAGTGGGAGACCTGAGCGCAGATCTTGTTAGGTGATGTGAATTTGCTTTCTCCTCTTTAAACTTCAGTAAACTGAGACTTCGTAAAAAACACTGGATGATGAGAAGTTTTCCACAACAGCTGCTCATTTTAAAGGCCGTTTACAAAGAGCTTGTAATGATGGATGAAGTTCACTGCTGTTCTGATTATCTCTGACTTCAGACAAGTAACTTGACTGCATGGAGAGATTATGAGACACAGACATGTAAAAGACCCCACCCTTCCTACAATGGAGCACAAGCCCCAGACTGAAAAGGTATAAGGATTTCAAAAACAGCAAGGGCCATTTTTCTCTATTTGCAGTCATTTATGGGTTTTTTTGTGTAGCATTTTTGTTACCGGTTGTTTTGCATCTGTGCATGTAGCAGTTTGAATCTCCATGGTCATTTTGCATCTCTGATCATTCTGTGCCTTTTACTAGTAATTTTGTCTGACTTCGCAGTCTTTTTGTGACTATGGTTAACACATCTTCAAGGTCATTTTCCATTTACAATGTTACAGTAGAGTACAGTGTTAAAGTAGAAACTAAACAAATGCATATAGTTTATGGTTCAATTAAGCAGACTATAGTTTGTTAATTTGTACCTCTAACTACTGTAGGTATTTCTTTCCATTATTTTTACTATGGTACAAGTTGCCACCTGCACTAAGAGCCAAATCTTTAGCTTAGCTAATAGGAAATAAAACAAACTTGATAAATGAAATAGTTTCCCCAAGCAATGCAGTTTCTATCTTAAGTTTGAAGATGAGGCTTTTCACTTTAAACAATTGTAAAACATTTTCAGGGTTCAAGAAAGACAGTTTGCTGCTGTAGCTCTAACGAAATGCAGATCGAGTTTCAAACATCTACAAGCTGATTTTCATAGAACACTAAAAGGAAAATTATAGCTGCATGTGCAATGATCGAGAGAAAAAGTTGTAGTTAATTGCTGAAAAGTCCAAAATGGTCCTGATTACATGAAAAAAAGTACATATGATTTTCAAACATTTAAATTAAGGATGTCCTTAACTGGCAAAGGTCATTTTGGTGCTACAACTTGCAACTCATTCTGAATGCTACCATATTACCATTGTTCATGAAACATTACATTATAAAGATCTACAGCAAGTATATGTGGGGACACTTGTTTCTGCAAGGAAAACATTTATGGCTGTCCACTTCATCTTCACACTGTTTGGTAACACAGGTGATCTAGTTTTGCTGTGGATAGTTACCAGTCTACATTTCCTGATATTTATATTATGGCAGTCATTTCTAGGAAGGGCAAAAACTTGAAAGTATCTTTTCAAACCACCTAACAGTTCATTAACTTGGCAATGACAAAACAAACAGTACAGACTGCTTAGTTATCCCAACCATTTATTTTGGACAGATTATTTTGACCTTAGTGAGGTCTTACATAAAACTTAAAAAAAAAAAAAAAACTAAACAAAACAAAAAAACACGAGTGTAGAACATAAAAATGTTGAAGGTTTGCTAACCTCAGATGCAAATATTTTTCCATTTTTGTATTTCCCATTGATTGGAATGGCCTATCAGCTCGTTCGGAGTTCCCATTCTGGACACCCCCTTCGGACAGAAGAAGGGAGCAAGAAGGGAAAGGAAAAAAGGGACGTGAAGGGCAGAGAGGTGTGGGTGTGTTTCCAGGTTCACATGGCAAACAGGATGAGGAATGCCACCATCAGACAGAAGAGACCCATAGCCTCAGACAGGGCAAAGCCCAGGATGGCATAGGAGAAGAGCTGCTGCTTCAGGGAGGGGTTCCTGTGGAGGACAGGACAAAGTGAGACCAGGTCAACAGCTAATTATGTGCAAAAATCAGTCTTATAGAATGGATACAAGGCTTCTGGTGTTCCACAAGGTTTCACACATGCCTACACACTGTCCGCAGAACAGCCTGAAGCTGCGAGGAACATTAATGTAAATGTAACCTACATGTGAATGACGAAGCCAGCAGTGTTAACTATCCCGTGTTTACAGAGGGCTTCTGTTTTGAACCGATACTCTGGTTACATGTGCCTACCTCTAACATTCCTCTGACATCGTTCTAAGCAGGTCAAAGTATCACTATACTGTATAAAACAGCTTAACATTAGGGTATGTTGATTTATATGCACTCAGAGAAAAGGCTGCCATGGTGCCACATGCAGACACCATGGCCTCCCTAAGCAAATATTTTAGTGCTTTTGTCTGATCTGTTCTCAACTGTATAAAAACAAAGAACACTTTCCAAGTGGAAAACATCAGCTACAGCTGCCAGGACTTCTAGAAATTGGCAGAGTGACAATGACTGACTGAAATTAATTAAATAACGTGGGCTTCATAGACAACTGGAAAACATTTTGGGGAAAACCTGGTCTGATTAGCAGAGACGGCATCCATCCCACTTTGGGTGGTGCGGCTCTCTTATCTAGAAATCTGGACGAGTTTGTTTTACAACCTAAATTATGACAACCCAGAGTTGAGTCCAGGATGCAGGGTCGCAGTCTTACACGCCTCTCTAATGTCTCCTTGCAGCTGCTACCCACCCAACACTCCCAGTACCCCATAGAGACTGTGTCTGCCCCCCGCCCACCTAAATTATATAAATCAAGAATCAACTCCAGAGGAGTTATTCATAAGAACCTAATTAAAATTAAGATG